AAACACACACAAACACGTCCTATATATATGCATAGTTATTACTCGTGCCTAAAGACATGAATTAATAAAAAAAATTATCAACAATAAATATATTTGTATTTACACCTAAAATTAAATTACAAACATAGAGAAAAAATAAATACATTTAAACATCGGTTGGTGGTGGTAGGTGTGGTGGGGGGTGATTAACAGTGGGTGGCGTCAATGATGAGCGACGACGGGTGGTGATGGGTGTTGACGGTGGTAGTGGGATGATGGTTGTCATTGTAATAAATATAGCAATGAGATGACAATGGTGATGGGTGGTGATGGACAACAATGGCAGCAATCAGTGGTAGGAGCAACGGCAATGGTGGGGGCGACGACAACGATTGTGGTAGGTGCGACAACAGCAATGGTGGTGGTGAGATGACGGCGACGGATGTTGTAGTGGAAATGGTGGTGTGGGTGGTTGGGATAATGGTGATGGCAACAACGATGGTAGTGGTGGGCGTGGCGGTGGGCGTGGGGGTGACAGTGACGGTGGGGATAGTGATGGTGGCAGCAACGGTGGTGAAGGTGGCGGCAGTGGCGGCGATGGCGATGGTGGTGGTGGTAGTGGTGATGGTGACGATGGCGGCAGCAGTAGTGGCAGCGGTTTTAAATACTATTTTTTTTTAAAGTATTGATGAGAAATAATTTTTAAAAGTATTATTAAAAAGTCACTTCAAACACACCTTTATAGGCCTATTTTTCCTATTAAATTTAGGATATTAATATTAACCGTTAAATTAATTTTAAAGTAAAATTTAAAACGACCTCAATTGCAAATAGTAAAAATCATTTTGTTTATCTTTTAAAATTTAAATTATAAGCTACTTTATTATATAGATGTGTGTGTATATATATGCGAACAGGATTCGAAATCCTTGTTACAGAAAGCAGTAGTCATATGATCTTTGTCATTCATATATATGCTAAGAGCAAAGTTAAGAACATTCGGCACTTTTGTTGATTTTACTTTCCGGGCAATTATTTCTATTGCATGTTATGCCTAAACACGAATAACATCAAAGTTTAAGTACACACCCAACACCATTAATGAAATCAAGTTTTACACCTCCAACCCCAAAACAGGCTTAAATGCAGGCAGGTCTACATTACAAATGAAAAACATTTTTAATCGGTAATGCAGAACAATTTCATTTACATGGTATGCAAATGCTCCTTTAATTTTCATTATGTCCAAGAAAGCAAATTGCCAAAGGCAAGTGTATTCATAGCTACAAGCAATGAATACACTTGAGAGTGAAAAGATTGGTAACTTTGGAATACCTGGCCAATTTACCCATATCCTTCCCAGTACTCTAGTTGCAGGAACTCAATGGAGATCCGCCATGCCATACTAACAAAATGTCTTCTGTGTAGAAATTTAATCTTTGAATTGGAAGTTCTGTTCAAATCCTCAAAACACAAAAAATGAACAAGGGAAAACCAAGTTCTTCAAAGACAAAATTGAATGTTATACATAGGGAAATATGGAAAATTCAGAAAATGCTCCATATGATCATGGATTTGATCACTTAGTCAAGGTCGCTACAGATCAAATATGGAACTAAAAAAGGAAAAATAAATTACAAAAAGGGCAAAGTGCAATGATAATAAAGGAGTTGAGCAGAATAACCGCTTCCTTCAAGGGTACAACTTGTTTAATGTACACATGCCAATTCCAAGTCCTACATCATACTTCACCTTTTGGTTCGGTACTAAGTTCCGCTGCTTGTACGGGGCCTCTTGCATCTTTTGTTACAATATTACCCTGACGAACTCCTACAGCACCTATCCCATGCAACATAAGTAATTTATACAGAAATGGGAACACTAAACATAGCCGTCAATGGCATCTGAACAACCCACTATGCAGGACTGTGTCATCATCANAACAGGATTCGAAATCCTTGTTACAGAAAGCAGTAGTCATATGATCTTTGTCATTCATATATATGCTAAGAGCAAAGTTAAGAACATTCGGCACTTTTGTTGATTTTACTTTCCGGGCAATTATTTCTATTGCATGTTATGCCTAAACACGAATAACATCAAAGTTTAAGTACACACCCAACACCATTAATGAAATCAAGTTTTACACCTCCAACCCCAAAACAGGCTTAAATGCAGGCAGGTCTATATTACAAATGAAAAACATTTTTAATCGGTAATGCAGAACAATTTCATTTACATGGTATGCAAATGCTCCTTTAATTTTCATTATGTCCAAGAAAGCAAATTGCCAAAGGCAAGTGTATTCATAGCTACAAGCAATGAATACACTTGAGAGTGAAAAGATTGGTAACTTTGGAATACCTGGCCAATTTACCCATATCCTTCCCAGTACTCTAGTTGCAGGAACTCAATGGAGATCCGCCATGCCATACTAACAAAATGTCTTCTGTGTAGAAATTTAATCTTTGAATTGGAAGTTCTGTTCAAATCCTCAAAACACAAAAAATGAACAAGGGAAAACCAAGTTCGTCAAAGACAAAATTGAATGTTATACATAGGGAAATATGGAAAATTCAGAAAATGCTCCATATGATCATGGATTTGATCACTTAGTCAGGTCGCTACAGATCAAATATGGAACTAAAAAAGGAAAAAAGAATTACAAAAAGGGCAAAGTGCAACGATAATAAAGGAGTTGAGCAGAATAACCGCTTCCTTCAAGGGTACAACTCNAAAAATGAACAAGGGAAAACCAAGTTCGTCAAAGACAAAATTGAATGTTATACATAGGGAAATATGGAAAATTCAGAAAATGCTCCATATGATCATGGATTTGATCACTTAGTCAAGGTCGCTACAGATCAAATATGGAACTAAAAAAGGAAAAATAAATTACAAAAAGGGCAAAGTGCAATGATAATAAAGGAGTTGAGCAGAATAACCGCTTCCTTCAAGGGTACAACTCGTTTAATGTACACATGCCAATTCCAAGTCCTACATCATACTTCACCTTTTGGTTCGGTACTAAGTTCCGCTGCTTGTACGGGGCCTCTTGCATCTTTTGTTACAATATTACCCTGACGAACTCCTACAGCACCTATCCCATGCAACATAAGTAATTTATACAGAAATGGGAACACTAAACATAGCCGTCAATGGCATCTGAACAACCCACTATGCAGGACTGTGTCATCATCAAATGGAACAAATCTTCAGACAGGCAAACAGGAGAACAATTGATTGTGCAAGTCTAAGTACTACAAAGTACATTCTTGGGGGGATTGGAAATAAAATCCCCTGTAAATTAAAAAGACTTGTGGTTGATGATGTTTGAGGGACCTTCTTTCCCACCGGTTCATGGTCAGTCATTTATGCTATGCTCATCTACCAAGAAAACAAGANCAAACAGGAGAACAATTGATTGTGCAAGTCTAAGTACTACAAAGTACATTCTTGGGGAGATTGGAAATAAAATCCCTTGTAAATTAAAAAGACTTGTGGTTGATGATGTTTGAGGGACCTTCTTTCCCACCGGTTCATGGTCAGTCATTAATGCTATGCTCATCTACCAAGAAAACAAGGNTACAACAATAACTATGACAGAAACACACACAAACACCTCCTATATATATGCATAGTTATTGCTCGTGCCTAAAGACATGAATTAATAAAAAAAATTGTCAACAATAAATATATTTATATTTACACTTAAAATTAAATTACAAACATAGAGAAAAAATAAATGCATTTAAACATCAGTTGGTGGTGGTAGGTGTGGTGGAGGGTGATTAACAGTGGGTGGCGTCAATGATGAGCGACGACGGGTGGTGATGGGTGTTGACGGTGGTAGTGGGATGATGGTTGTCATTGTAATAAATATAACAATGAGATGACAATGGTGGTGGGTGGTGGTGGACAACAATGACAGCAATCAGTGGTATTAGCAATAGCAATGGTGGGGGCGACGACAACGATTGTGGTAGGTGCAACAACAGCAATGGTGGTGGTGAGATGACGGCGACGGATGTTGTAGTGGAAATGGTGGTGTGGGTGGTTGGGGTAATGGTGATGGCGGTGGAGGTGGTGGCAACAACGATGGTAGTGGCGGTGGGCGTGGGGGTGACGGTGACAGAGGGGATAGTGGTGGCGGCGGCAACGGTGGTGAAGATGGCGGCAGTGGCAGCGATGGCGATAGTGGTAGTGGTAGTGGTGATGGTGACGATGGCGGCAGCAGTAGTGGCAGTGGTTTTAAATACTATTTTTTTTAAAAGTATTGATGAGAAATAATTTCTAAACGTACTTTTAAAAAGTCACTTCAAACACACCCTTATAGGCCTATTTTTCCTATTAAATTTAGGATATTAATATTAACCGTTAAATTAATTTTAAAGTAAAATTTAAAACGACCTCAATTGCAAATAGTAAAAATCATTTTGTTTATCTTTTAAAATTTAAATTATAAGCTACTTTATTATATAGATGTGTGTGTATATATATGCGAACAGGATTCGAAATCCTTGTTACAGAAAGCAGTAGTCATATGATCTTTGTCATTCATATATATGCTAAGAGCAAAGTTAAGAACATTCGGCACTTTTGTTGATTTTACTTTCCGGGCAATTATTTCTATTGCATGTTATGCCTAAACACGAATAACATCAAAGTTTAAGTACACACCCAACACCATTAATGAAATCAAGTTTTACACCTCCAACCCCAAAACAGGCTTAAATGCAGGCAGGTCTACATTACAAATGAAAAACATTTTTAATCGGTAATGCAGAACAATTTCATTTACATGGTATGCAAATGCTCCTTTAATTTTCATTATGTCCAAGAAAGCAAATTGCCAAAGGCAAGTGTATTCATAGCTACAAGCAATGAATACACTTGAGAGTGAAAAGATTGGTAACTTTGGAATACCTGGCCAATTTACCCATATCCTTCCCAGTACTCTAGTTGCAGGAACTCAATGGAGATCCGCCATGCCATACTAACAAAATGTCTTCTGTGTAGAAATTTAATCTTTGAATTGGAAGTTCTGTTCAAATCCTCAAAACACAAAAAATGAACAAGGGAAAACCAAGTTCGTCAAAGACAAAATTGAATGTTATACATAGGGAAATATGGAAAATTCAGAAAATGCTCCATATGATCATGGATTTGATCACTTAGTCAGGTCGCTACAGATCAAATATGGAACTAAAAAAGGAAAAAAGAATTACAAAAAGGGCAAAGTGCAACGATAATAAAGGAGTTGAGCAGAATAACCGCTTCCTTCAAGGGTACAACTCGTTTAATGTACACATGCCAATTCCAAGTCCTACATCATACTTCACCTTTTGGTTCGGTACTAAGTTCCGCTGCTTGTACGGGGCCTCTTGCATCTTTTGTTACAATATTACCCTGACGAACTCCTACAGCACCTATCCCATGCAACATAAGTAATTTATACAGAAATGGGAACACTAAACATAGCCGTCCATGGCATCTGAACAACCCACTATGCAGGACTGTGTCATCATCAAATGGAACAAATCTTCAGACAGGCAAACAGGAGAACAATTGATTGTGCAAGTCTAAGTACTACAAAGTACATTCTTGGGGGGATTGGAAATAAAATCCCCTGTAAATTAAAAAGACTTGTGGTTGATGATGTTTGAGGGACCTTCTTTCCCACCGGTTCATGGTCAGTCATTTATGCTATGCTCATCTACCAAGAAAACAAGACAATGAAAGAGAATATTTCTTGTTTTTTAACAGCATGATTTGGGCCAATGTTCCGCGCTCATGGTGGCAAGTAGAAACAGCTTACATTATTGCAAGACAACCATTGTCTCTAATGAGATAATTTATTCCCATTGATAGGCCATTTAAATGAAACCATGATGTCTACCCCCAATCTAACCCCATGTAACCACTAGGCCAAGGTGCTAGTGGTGAAATGAGAATATTTGTGAAATATTGAAAAGCGGCTCACTATTTAGTGTAAGCGGTTCAATATTGAAATGTGGTTCGGATCAAATTCCATCCCAACATGGAAGATGTCATCCAGAGGCCATTAGAAAATAAACATGTAATGAAAACCCAAAAGAATCCATCAAACCAAATTCTGGAAATAATATTGATCACCTGGCAGCACTGAGATTCGGTCACCAGAGCCAAACCCGTGACTGGAATTCCCTGCAACCAATAACTTTCCATGAAATGCTGGTGATAATGCAAAATTACTGGCTGCGCCTATATCGTTCCCACCACTCGACATATAATTTTCACCAAACGGTGACCTGAGAGATGATTTTGGCGCATAGGTTGTGGACCAAGATCCCCCATTTGATCCAGCTAAGGCAATTATTACATCCGCCTGAAATAGCCCAAAAAAAGAGCAAGTCATGGATGCTTCTGAACTTGAGTATCAACATCAATTTTGAAAAGCCCAAAAGCCATGGGGGAAAAAAGACACCCAAAAGTATTTGTCTAATTTGCAAAAGCATTACCTTTACAATGTTCTTGAAAACAATGTTGCAAAGTGACATGTACTTCAGTGCTAAAATGTGGGTAGACAATAATATATAAAGGGACTAAATTTATTCGCCGTGAAGTAATTGTATCCATTATTAGATGTACAATGAATCACAGCCGTGAGATTTTCAGGAAAAATATCCTCATGGTAAGATTACTGTTAAACAAGCCCAAGAGGTATAACTTTTATACCGAACGAGACAATGCCTCCAAAACACAAATTGGCTTTTATATGATTGTGCAACTGAAAGTTACCTATATTCTGCTTTAGTTTAATGAACATCAATGCAGCCATATTGTTGATATCTCTTACGTGTCACCAAATTCGTAGGCGCAATCTTTCCTTCTCTCTCACATTTTACTAGCAATGGAGATCAGAAAAAGTGACATGTTATAAATTTGATGAAAAGCAAATATTGTATCTTTTGTGCTGGATCATTACCAAAAGTTTCCAAAATTTAACTGGATGACGACCAAGAAAAGATCAAATTATCAGTATCTTTAAACTTATTGTATTTTGACCAAAGTGTTTCAGAGAGAAACTGAACTTCGGGCAAGTTTAACCAACCATAAAATCAAATTTGTTGTTTTCAGTGAAATTAGGTATGATGGCACAAAAGTTTTTTTGACGAGTTACCTTACTTGAAATTGTGACTTCTCTAACCTTTGACTGCATAAAGAGCAGCGTCAGCCCCTATACAAATGAATATCAACAAACCATAAAACGGCAACTGACTTTCAATGCCCTTTGACAAATCTGATATTCCAATCATGTATCTACCAAGAAGAGTATACCAATGATTTGTTTCACCTCTTCTACTAGCATAGGATTGACTTCACCAATCATACATATCAGCTTGGATTAACATAATTGCAAAGTGATTGAGGAGAGATTGCAAAACTTAGAGTCAGTTGGCAATATATGTAATCTATAAGATATTAGTAGAGTAATCTGCAAGGGCTTCAATAAGACCAGAAAAGCTATGGAACATTGTTCCATGATCATAACCACATTTCTCTCGAGAGAAAAAAAATAATGCTATAGGTAACATAAGGGTTATTTAGAAAACTTAAAGTTTCAAATGACAGTGGAAGAAACTCATCAAAGTTGGGCATTGATCATATATATTGTCCTCTAAATAAAAATNAAATAATGCTATAGGTAACATAAGGGTTATTTAGAAAACTTAAAGTTTCAAATGACAATGGAAGAAACTCATCAAAGTTGGGCATTGATCATATATATTGTCCTCTAAATAAAAACCAATTTGCATAACTAACTGATTCTTTGTGAGACATGCAACATAAGCATATGAACAACCACCAGTTATAATTATCAGATATGCCATGGAATACTCACAACAAGGAGAAAGCGAACCTTGTTTGGGTGGACATTATCAAAAACATGGGCTTGACCGCCATAAAATATAGTCATCTGGTGATTAGCAAATGCTATTCCTTCTCGTCTGATATGATAGAGATAAAAAATAAATCTCATCAAGAGCTCTCTTAACATTCTATATTGTAAGAAATGAAGATGACAACTGAGAATTTGAATTATGAATTTATCACAATTACTTGGGAGGAGTAGAAGATTCAGGCTCAATAATGCAAGTCCCAGACTTCCGCTTGCCACCACTTGCCAGCACCCCAGAAGGATTTCTATCAGAGATGGCATTAACAGAGCTCAAAATGCCGGATCCTTTAATACCAGTCCTAGACCCTTCATCTGCAGCTGCTTGAGAAATAACAGACGGGCCTGAATTGCTGGCTTTCAATCTATTTGCTGGTGTTTGATGCTGGAAAGGCACAACTTGACCTGCACGTGGGGGATACCGCACTCCGGGGCCAACATTCATGGGTATTGCTCGCTCCCATTCAGACACATTGGTGTCAGTTCTATCACTCGTGGTCGGTTGCAATACAACAGAGGCTGAAGTTGGCCTCATTGGATGCTTACCAAAGTAAGCTTCCTCATCGTGGGACTGCCTAGGTTGCTCTCTCCCTACCTTTCGCATAATCTGAATTCCAACAAAATTGCCAATATAAGAATGAAACAAATAGGAACCAAGCCATCATAATATATATGGGTTTAAACTGACATAAGAATTCATCTAGAGAAAAGTTGAAAAGAAGAAGGTGATCATGGTGACAATGATGATGAAGGATGACAAATCACACCTTCATCAAATGCGAGCTCTCCAGTGAGTCTTGTCGCATTTGCAGAATGACATCTCTTGATGAACCCATAAAAGAAAGATCTGAGTTACTTCGTTTACTTCCAACAACTCTGTTACTTGCCTCATGCCCTGAAAAGTCACTTCTTGGGCCATAGAATGGCACCCCCTCGAAATGATTCCTTGCCTGTCTTCCTACCATGATTGATGCAAAATTGATCAGACTGTGATTTCATTATCCAAATACAACATAGTATGAAAATCAACTATCTCAAAATCGTGACAGCTTCAACAATACTATTACAATTCCAACCAATTCTTTCTCGGCTAAACTTACTAATCAAGAAATATAGGAGAATGGCACTATTTGATAATGTCTGTCTAGCAGAACCCCCGCTGATGTGCATACACATTAACAGAATTAAATGGCCACACGATATGCAAGAAACTTTGTTTTAAATCCAAAATAAACAAACATCATGTGAGGACAATTAAGAAATTCCTACGAGAAAATAGTCCACATAAATTAGGTGCAAAGAAACCCAAAAGTAAGCAGAAAAAAAGAAATGGCTAATTTAGTATATCCATATTTACAGAAAATTTACATAAATAACGAGACAGAGAGAGAGAGAGAGAGAGAGTCCAATGAAGCTACTAACCTCAACAGTGAGCTCACTTAAACTACTCCACCACAGAAATACCCACCCCACTAAGGGAGCCATATAGAAGAAGAGATACAAATAAACAGAAACGACCTACTCTACACACACACACACAGAGAATACATAGAGAGAGAACGCTCAAAACCTATCTGATGAAATCAAAGGTACCTGTTAAACTAGGGAGAGTAGGAGTAATGTTTGTACATCACCAGATAAATTAAAAACAACACATTCAAGTAGACATAACAAAGAAGAGAGAAGGGTTTGTACAAATAGAAAAAAACAAAAGCCAAAAACAAAAAATGGGGGATTAGTTCTTACCAGAACCTAGATCAGAAGTTGTGGAGATGGGTCCACGGCCACCACCAGAAGAGGCACCTGGGGAGACAGAAGACGGCATCAGTTCAGACTCTAGTCTGACATGTCCGCCGGAAGACATACGCTCCGCCGGCAACGAATCGGAGGCGTACCCTTTACCCAGAAAGTCATGGAAGATCGTGGGCTTCACTTCTTCCGTACTGTTGTTGGCATTGACATTGCTGGTGTTGCTCTTGCAGTTGTGAGCCATTTTCATCAACAACACAGCCATGTCATCTTCACGCCATCACCATGAGGCTGGATAGCTCAGTTGGAGAGAGAGAAGAAAAGGGTGCACGATTTTCAGACAAATGGAAGAACCAGACTTCTCTTGAGAGAGAGAGAGAGAGAGAGAGAGAGAGCATTAAAAAATAAAAACGTCTGGCTTGTCTCTCTTTACATCTTAATGCGCTTGTGTTCTGTGCAGCTGTTGTTTTCTGAGTATAAATGTTGGAGTCTATTACCGATCAACCCTAATTATAAAATTTATTTATCAATCTATTATCATTTTCAACTTATTTATTAAATTATCGTTGTTTTAAAAATAAATTTGACAAATCCGATTTCATTTGAAAAACGAATTTGATAAATCCGACTTCATTTGAAAAATAAATTTGATAAATTCGACTTTATAAAGAAAACGAACATACCAAATCCGTCTTTATATGGAAAGCAGACTTACCAAATCTAAGGTGCAAGCCTTTATATGTATATTTGTGTTGATCGCCAAAAGAGTATTTGGCTATTTATTGAATACGTTTGGTCTCTCTGATTTTATATTCTTTGTGAATCAATTACTCACATTTATTAGTCGTTAAAAATCCGCTAATAGATTATATCTAAATTCATTAGTTATAACTCGTGTCTGAAGGCAGATAAAATATAAAATTCGAGCATCAAAAAAATCAATCCTATTATATTAAAATTTTTTAAAATATATTAATTATAAATTAATCAAATATTAAATAATTAAATATATGATAAAAATGAGTGATTTATTTTTTAGGGAGAAAATATATAAAATCAAGAATTTCTGATGGTATCCTCTCAACAAGAAAATTAGATGAAATATTAAAAGTTACTAGCTGAGACAAATTTTCCATCTCATTTGGCAACTCAGACATAAAATAATTTCCCGAGAGATCAAGCCTTTGCAACTTTTGGCAGTTTCCAATCTCAGGAGGAATAGTACCACTGAACTTGTTCTGGCCCAATTCAACTGCAGAGAGGTTCATCAAATTGCACAAATCACCAAAAAAATCCCCTGTAAGTCTGTTTCCACTCAGACGAAATTGCACCAATAGTTTGTGGCCTGTGAGATTATTAAAGTGGATTTGGTAAGTCTGCTTTCCATATAAAGGCGGATTTGGTATATCCGCTTTTTAATTATTAAAGGTCTGGTTCAGAACAAAAAATGGATTCGATATGTCCGCTTTCTAAATGAATTCAAATTTGGTATGTTCGCTTTCTCTATGAAGTCGAATTTGTCAAATCCGTTTTCCCCATGAAATCGAATTTGTAAAATTCGCTTTTAAAACAGCGATAATTTGGTAAATAAATTAAAAACAGCAGTAGATTGGTGGGCATGAGAAGGTAGGTTACATTCTTATTTTCTTATCTTTGTAGGAGATCACATGTCTTTGCTAAATTGTTTTCCAAACCCAAACCCCCCNGTTCAGACTCTAGTCTGACATGTCCGCCGGAAGACATACGCTCCGCCGGCAACGAATCGGAGGCGTACCCTTTACCCAGAAAGTCATGGAAGATCGTGGGCTTCACTTCTTCCGTACTGTTGTTGGCATTGACATTGCTGGTGTTGCTCTTGCAGTTGTGAGCCATTTTCATCAACAACACAGCCATGTCATCTTCACGCCATCACCATGAGGCTGGATAGCTCAGTTGGAGAGAGAGAAGAAAAGGGTGCACGATTTTCAGACAAATGGAAGAACCAGACTTCTCTTGAGAGAGAGAGAAAGAGAGAGCATTAAAAAATAAAAACGTCTGGCTTGTCTCTCTTTACATCTTAATGCGCTTGTGTTCTGTGCAGCTGTTGTTTTCTGAGTATAAATGTTGGAGTCTATTACCGATCAACCCTAATTATAAAATTTATTTATCAATCTATTGTCATTTTCAACTTATTTATTAAATTATCGTTGTTTTAAAAATAAATTTGACAAATCCGATTTCATTTGAAAAACGAATTTGATAAATCCGACTTCATTTGAAAAGTAAATTTGATAAATTCGACTTTATAAGGAAAGCGAACATACCAAATCCGTCTTTATATGGAAAACAGACTTACCAAATCTAAGGTGCAAGCCTTTATATGTATAATTGTATTGATCGCCAAAAGAGTATTTGGCTATTTATTGAATACGTTTGGTCTCTCTGATTCTATATTCTTTGTGAATCAATTACTCACATTTATTAGTCGTTAAAAATCCGCTAATAGATTCTATCTAAATTCATTAGTTATAACTCGTGTCTGAAAGCAGATAAAATATAAAATTCGAGCATCAAAAAAATCAATCCTATTATATTAAAATTTTTTAAAATATATTAATTATAAATTAATCAAATATTAAATAATTAAATATATAATAAAAATGAGTGATTTATTTTTTAGGGAGAAAATATATAAAATCAAGAATTTCTGGTGGTATCCTCTCAACAAGAAAATTAGATGAAATATTAAAAGTTACTAGCTGAGACAAATTTTCCAACTCATTTGGCAACTCAGACATGAAATAATTTCCCGAGAGATCAAGCCTTTGCAACTTTTGGCAGTTTCCAATCTCAGGAGGAATAGTATCACTGAACTTGTTCTGGCCCAATTCAACTGCAGAGAGGTTCATCAAATTGCACAAATCACCAGAAAAATCCCCTGTAAGTCTGTTTTCACTCAGACGAAATTGCACCAATAGTTTGTGGCCTGTGAGATTATTAAAGTGGATTTGGTAAGTCTGTTTTCCATATAAAGGCGGATTTGGTATATCCGCTTTTTAATTATTAAAGGTCTAGTTCAGAACAAAAAATGGATTTGGTATGTCCGCTTTCTAAATGAAGTCAGATTTGGTATGTTCGCTTTCTCTATGAAATCGAATTTGTCAAATCCGTTTTTCCCATGAAATTGAATTTGTAAAATCCGCTTTTAAAACAGCGATAATTTGGTAAATAAGTTGAAAACAGCAGTAAATTGGTAGGCATGAGAAGGTAGGTTACATTCTTATTTTCTTATCTTTGTAGGAGATCACATGTCTTTGCTAAATTGTTTTCCAAACCCAAACCCCCCTCCCCCCCCCCCCCCCCCCC